ATTCATGAAATCATCAAAAACCTTCAGAGGACCCACTTTCCCGTTACTGGCCTGTCCAAGAATGAAGAGCACGTGTTTCAATATCTTTTATATGTATATATATATATATTACATGCAATATACTACACTTGTGTTGAGAACAGTCTGGTTTTGCAAACATGACCTTTAGCCTGAAGTGGTGGATTGCCCATATGTGCACCTAGAAGTCCTTCATGATATCTCAGATCTGATTCGTATGTTGTGTACTTTGTGTACTTTGTGTACTTGGAGATAATGAATATAAGGCTCCATGTACACGGGGCATTTGGAAAACTCTTCAGACTGCAGGTTAAAAAACATCTGTTTAGCCGCGTTTGCATACTGTGTTTATGAGTGTTTACGTTTAGAAGCGTTTTTTAAAGATAACCTCAGGAGACCTTCCAAAATGCCTGGAATGCACTGAAAAACTGTAAATAATTAACTATTTCAGACATTTTGAGAGAAATAGAGAGAACAGTATGTGTTGAGATTAGCTGTCTTTTTTTTTTGGGTGTCTAGATGTGTTCCGGCTCATTTCTGTGCAGAAATTATTGCAGCGGTGTGTAACATATTTTCTTTCATGTGAAACCTCAAAGTGTGGCGTACCGGGTCCATTTGAGTGCCGGGAAAACACTTTGTATGCATTTTTTCATGATGGGGAAAAAAGGCTCTGGGCACTATCTGGAAATGGAAGAGTTAAAAACATTTTCCAAATGCAAACACTTATAAACGTGGTTAGCCGCGTTTACAAGCATTTGGTGTTTGAAACGCCGATAAAATCTACTCCTGAATGCAAGTTTGGTGTGTTCAAAAAACAACTTTGAACTCAACTGCCTGTAAAGGACGATGTGTACAGGACACCTAGGAGAACATTAGGGAGAGTTCAGGGGCTGCTGAAAAGAACGCAGAAAAGCTCCTAAACGTGAGATTATCAGCCGCAGTGTACATGGAGCCCTTACTGTATCGGTCGTTTCGCTGTTCATGATACACGGGGGTCCAGCGTATATATAATGCAGGTAAACGAAGTGTTCAGAATCTGATCGGGATTGCTGAGTACGAGGCATGTGTCTGACACAGAGCCTCCTGACATATTTGGCACATTTTATTTCCGTCGTCCTTTCTTTTCACACAAACACCTCCCCTTCCCTCAGCCTCTCTCCCCCTCCGGGTTTCAGAACTGATTCTTCATCTCGCCATCCATACACAGAGACTGCTGGGTCCTCTGCTCAGGTAAGAATGCATGCGGACGCACAGGCTGGGGATCTGCAGGAACTGGCACTTAAAATGTAGGTTTAGCCAAAACTTTTCTTGAATTAATCTTCAGATCTTCATCCCTACAATTATTTCTCAATCGCAAACGGAAAAATAGCTCCGGCAGAGAAAGGGTTAATATTAGTTTCCATCATACTGGTGTCTTGGCTGCAGATGTGTGAGGATTTTCTGGGACCCTTCGCATTGGGGGGGGGGGGGGCACGTGAACTTTACCGTCAATTCTATAGGAATGCCAAACCTGCTGGAAAAAGTTCAAAAATAAATGTCAGGTGAAGGTCAATGAATTCCGAATGATCTCAGAAGCTTCTCAGACTGAGGCCATCAACACAAGGGCCAAAGAGCATCAACAAGGGTCCTAAGGGTCCATGCACACGCCGGGGTGGGGTGCGATCTGTACGACTGCACTCCTTTTTATTTATTTATTTTTTCCTTTTAAACAAACTTTCACAGTAAGTTCGATCAGCCGATGCTCCATACTTTTTCTCGGCAAAGCGGTGGAGTGAGCCGGCCACACCAGGGACAAGGCAATTTTTGTCTTGACTTGCAGGAGGGTGTGGTGGGACTGCGAGGAAGCCCCACCACACCTAGCGTGAATGGACCCTTATGAGCTGTAACTTTGTATTGTGTTGTGCTATTATGTATCTATTATTTATAATTTCATGATATAATGGGATCGAAACTGGAGGGTGCAAAATCTGGTGCAGCTGTGCATGGCAGCCAATCAGCTTCTCACTTCAGCTGGTTCAACTAAACTTTGACAATAAAACCTGGAAGCTGATTGGTTTCAGCCTGGGTTCACACTTGTGCGGGACATTGCATGTGAGGGGCACAGGAACCGCACGCCTGTGCAGATCACATGTGGTTTGTGCGCGGTGCGATATGAGACATACATTTTGTACGGCTCAAATCGCACCGCATCCGAACCAAAAAGGCACAGGACCAGGGGCGGACTGACCGTTTGGAAACTCGGGCACTGCCCGAGGGCCCGGGGTCGGTAGGGGGCCCCATGAGATGCCCCTGGTACCTTTTTCATAGGCTTTTTTGAGTTTGGGCAAGGACACAGGGGCCCCATGATCCCCTATTGCCCGGGGGCCCCATGAGTTGTCAGTCCACCCCTGCACAGGACCCTTTTTTTGGTCTGCACTAGAATCGGATCACACGGGTATCCACACCTATAGGATCCGATTCTGCACATCGCACTTCGTTTTGCAGACTGATTTTGGGGTGTCGTTAACTGAACACAGTGGCGTCCCCCGAGGCAGGTGCAGGGGTTGCGTGCTGCACGGGGTGACACCGGACCCGCTTCACGAAAAGGTAATTGTAAAGAAAGCCGATGATCCCTGCAGGACGGATCGGATCTGCGGATTGGGGAGGATAATGGATCGGAGTCTGATCCATTATCCTCAACCCGCAGATCTGATCCATCCTGTGGGGATTGTCGGCATGCAATCTATACGGGGTGACACCGGACCCGCTCCACGAAAAGGTAAGTTGTAAAGAAAGCCGATGATCCCCGCAGGACGGATCGGATCTGCGGATTGAGCATAATGGATCAGACTCCGATCCATTATCCTCCCCAATCCGCAGATCCAATCCATTATGCTCAATCCGCAGATCCGATCCATCCTGCGGGGATCCTCAGAGGGGGTGTCACCAAGTGTTATCGCACCGGATGACACCAACCCTAGGGACGCCTCTGACTTAACATATACAACCGCGGCGGTTCGCATGAACGGGATGATATTTATGCGGTGCGGAATTCACACAGAAACTGCTGCGAATTACGCACCGCATCAGAGTGAACTCGGGCTCCATGTATAGTTGCACCAGATTTTGCACTCTCCAGTTTTAGTAAATCAACTCCCATGTTTTTTTTATTTCATGACATATTTTTCTTTATATCGTGATTTTTTTTTGTTTGTTTGTTTTTTTTGTTATTTCATGATATGTTGTTTTTTCTTTCACAGTTGTATGTATTTTATGATATATTGTTTTTTGTTAATTCATAATATATTGCTGTTTTCTTTCATTCATGATATATGATTTTTTTTTTTTAAAAATTTATTTGATGATATATACCAATATATACAGAATATGACAATTAAACTCCCGGAATGCCTGCGGCATAGCCCTATGGTGTTGAGTCACATTTTTTTTCTTTATATCATGATTTTTTTTTTTTTTGTTAATTCATAATATATTACTGTTTTTTTCATTCATGATATATGATGTTTTTTTATAATTTGATGATATATACCCATATATACAGAGTGTGACAATTTAACTCCCGGAATGCCTGCGGCCGTAGCCCTATGGTGTTGAGTGACATATTTTTCTTGACATCATGATTTTTTTTTTTATTTTATAATTTCATAATATGTCATTGTTTTCTTTCACAATTGTATGTATTTCATGATATATTGTTTTTTTTGTTAATTGATAATATATTGCTGATTTTTTAATTCATGATATATGATTTTCTTTTTTAATTTGATATATACCAATATATACAGAGTGTGACAATTAAACTCCCGGAATGCCTGCGGCATAGCCCTATGGTGTTGAGTCACATTTTTTTTTTTCTTTATATCATGATTTTTTTTTTTTTGTTATTTCATGATATATTGTTTTTTGTTAATTCATAATATATTGCTGTTTTTTTTCATTCATGATATATTTTTTTTTTATTTGATGATATATACCAATATATACAGAATGTGACAATTAAACTCCCGGAATGCCTGCGGCATAGCCCTATGGTGTTGAGTGACATATTTTTCTTTATATCATGATTTTTTTTTTTTTTTATTTCATGATATGTTGTTTTTTCTTTCACAATTGTATGTATTTCATGATATATTGTTTTTTGTTAATTCATAATATATTGCTGTTTTTTTTTTTTCATTCATGATATATGACTTTTTTTTTTTCAATTTGATGATATATATATATATACCACTGTTGGCGGAAAATGAGTGACAGGAATCTGGAGCAGCAGATTAACATAAAAGTTTACATGAAAATTGGCAAAAGTGCGAATGAAAGTTTAGCTCTGTTACAAAATGGTGAACATTCCAGGAAGATATTAAGTGTTTTTGAATAGCATAAGAGGTTTAAGGAGGGGGCGGGGGAGGGGGACATGTCCACAATGATGGGAGAACGCTCAACCAACATTGTTGCTTGGAAATTCTAAAAAGGTTATGGGAATATATTTGGAGGAAAAAAAAAACTAAACTGTGGCCTAACAAGTGAATTCTCCACCACGACAATGCTCCTGCACAGGATGTGTTACGTGTTTGGGTTCTTGAAGGTGACAACAGCTGCCTGCTAGCGTATAGGTAAAAAACCTTCTTTTTTTTTTTTTTTAAATTGTCCATTCTGGGAATTAAATTGTATTATTTTTTTTATTTCATGATATATTGTTGTGTTTTTTTTTTGTTGTTGTTTTTATTTATTTCATACATTTTGTATTTAATGATACTTTTTTTTTTTATTTCATGATATACTGTATTTTATTTTTTCTTTCCTGATCTATTCTTTTTGACTTTTTTTAATGAATTTTTTTTTTGTATGATATATTATTTTTTTGTGTTTTACGGTGAAGGTTATTGTGGCAGAATCTTTCTGAGTGTCGGGCTGTTTCCTTCAATGACTTTTGCGTGTTTGCACAGCAGACATGGACCGTCCTCCGATAAAAAATTGTCAGTGGGATGCCGATCCTTGGACCCTTCTCGGAAAACTGGGCGAATGTTCAGCGGTTCCAAGCCAGAGATGATGATATCATGATCAACACGTACCCGAAGTCTGGTGAGATGAGTTCTTGTAGGTGAAATCTCTCACAATGCAGATCTTACAGGAATTACAAAATGTTGGCTTTGGATACACTTTAAAGTGTTACTAAACCCCCAACAGTCCAATCAGTCTGTAGATGCAGGAAAGCATGTTTGTTATATTCACTGAGGGACCTAAGGGGTTAATCCTCTGCATGGTGTAAAAAGCTGTTTGATCCTTTCTTCTCTGATCCTCCCCTTCTTCCGGAGCCCCCCCTCTTATCACCTGATAAGACATATCGTGTGGAGACACTCTGCACATGCTCAGTGTGGTGTGTATTGCTAGAGAGGTATTTTTTTTTTCTTGGGAGAGTGCATGTGATCAGCACAGGGCCAATCAGCACTGTCCAGACAGAGGTCAGGGTTCCTGCATCTTCCTAGAGCAGAATGAAATCTCCTCCTACAAGCTTTAACCAGTGCTCTGCTGGACACTGATAGAAGTCACAAGACTGCTATATACTGCTGATGGGAAAAGGTATTTAGCAGTTTGTTTACTTAAATAATTGCATTCCTATGTTGTGTGTACTGTGGGAGACCAGATATAGTGAATGCAGGGTCTGGGGAGAGCAGATATAGTGAATGCAGGGTCCGGGGAGAGCGGATATAGTGAATGCAGGGTCCGGGGAGACCGGATATAGTGAATGCAGGGTCCGGGGAGAGCGGATATAGTGAATGCAGGGTCCGGGAGACCATATATAGTGAATGCAGGGTCCAGGGAGAGCGGATATAGTGAATGCAGGGTCCGGGGAGACCGGATATAGTGAATGCAGGGTCCGGGGAGACCGGATATAGTGAATGCAGGGTCCGGGGAGAGCGGATATAGTGAATGCAGGGTCCGGGGAGACCGGATATAGTGAATGCAGGGTCCGGGGAGACCAGATATAGTGAATGCAGGGTCCGGGGAGAGCGGATATAGTGAATGCGGGGTCCGGGGAGAGCGGATATAGTGAATGCAGGGTCCGGGGAGAGCAGATATAGTGAATGCAGGGTCTGGGGAGAGCAGATATAATGAATGCAGGGTGCGGGGAGAGCGGATATAGTGAATGCGGGGTCCGGGGAGAGCGGATATAGTGAATGCAGGGTCTGGGGAGACCGGATATAGTGAATGCAGGGTCCGGGGAGAGCGGATATAGTGAATGCAGGGTCCGGGGAGACCAGATATAGTGAATGCAGGGTCCGGGGAGAGCGGATATAGTGAATGCGGGGTCCGGGGAGAGCGGATATAGTGAATGCAGGGTCCGGGGAGAGCAGATATAGTGAATGCAGGGTCCGGGGAGAGCGGATATAGTGAATGCAGGGTCCGGGGAGAGCGGATATAGTGAATGCAGGGTCCGGGGAGAGCGGATATAGTGAATGCGGGGTCTGGGGAGAGCAGATATAATGAATGCAGGGTCCGGGGAGAGCGGATATAGTGAATGCAGGGTCCGGGGAGAGCGGATATAATGAATGCGGGGTCCGGGGAGAGCGGATATAGTGAATGCAGGGTCCGGGGAGAGCGGATATAGTGAATGCAGGGTCCAGGGAGAGCGGATATAGTGAATGCAGGGTCCGGGGAGAGCGGATATAGTGAATGCAGGGTCCGGGGAGAGCGGATATAGTGAATGCAGGGTCCGGGGAGATCGGATATAGTGAATGCAGGGTCCGGGGAGAGCGGATATAGTGAATGCAGGGTCCGGGGAGAGCGTATATAGTGAATGCGGGGTCCGGGGAGAGCGGATATAGTGAATGCAGGGTCCGGGGAGAGCGGATATAGTGAATGCAGGGTCCAGGGAGAGCGGATATAGTGAATGCAGGGTCCGGGGAGAGCGGATATAGTGAATGCAGGGTCCGGGGAGAGCGGATATAGTGAATGCAGGGTCCGGGGAGATCGGATATAGTGAATGCAGGGTCCGGGGAGAGCGGATATAGTGAATGCAGGGTCCGGGGAGAGCGTATATAGTGAATGCGGGGTCTGGGGAGACCAGATATAGTGAATGCGGGGTCCGGGGAGAGCGGATATAGTGAATGCGGGGTCCGGGGAGACCAGATATAGTGAATGCGGGGTCCGGGGAGAGCGGATATAGTGAATGCGGGGTCCGGGAGAGCGGATATAGTGAATGCAGGGTCCGGGGAGAGCGGATATAGTGAATGCAGGGTCCGGGGAGAGCGGATATAGTGAATGCAGGGTCCGGGGAGACCGGATATAGTGAATGCGGGGTCCGGGGAGACCAGATATAGTGAATGCGGGCTCCGGGGAGAGCGGATATAGTGAATGCGGGGTCCGGGGAGACCAGATATAGTGAATGCGGGGTCCGGGGAGAGCGGATATAGTGAATGCAGGGTCCAGGGAGAGCGGATATAATGAATGCGGGGTCCGGGGAGAGCGGATATAGTGAATGCATGGTGTGGGGAGACCAGATATAGTGAATGCGGGGTCCGGGGAGAGCGGATATAATGAATGCGGGGTCCGGGGAGAGCGGATATAATAAATGCGGGGTCCGGGGAGAGCGGATATAGTGAATGCATGGTGTGGGGAGACCAGATATAGTGAATGCGGGGTCCGGGGAGAGCGGATATAGTGAATGCGGGGTCCGGGGAGACCAGATATAGTGAATGCGGGGTCTGGGGAGACCAGATATAGTGAATGCGGGGTCCGGGGAGAGCGGATATAGTGAATGCATGGTCTGGGGAGAGCGGATATAGTGAATGTGGGGTCCGGGGAGACCAGATATAGTGAATGCAGGGTCCGGGGAGACCAGATATAGTGAATGCAGGGTCCGGGGAGACCAGATATAGTGAATGCAGGGTCCGGGGAGACCAGATATAGTGAATGCGGGGTCTGGGGAGACCAGATATAGTGAATGCAGGGTCCGGGGAGAGCGGATATAGTGAATGCAGGGTCCGGGGAGAGCGGATATAGCGAATGCGGGGTCCGGGGAGAGCGGATATAGTGAATGCATGGTCTGGGGAGAGTGGATATAGTGAATGCGGGGTCCGGGGAGAGCGGATATAGTGACTGCGGGGTCCGGGGAGACCAGATATAGTGAATGCGGGGTCTGGGGAGACCATATATAGTGAATGCAGGGTCCGGGGAGACCAGATATAGTGAATGCGGGGTCCGGGAGAGCGCGGATATAGCGAATGCGGGGTCCGGGGAGAGTGGATATAGTGAATGCGGGGTCCGGGGAGACCGGATACAGCGAATGCGGGGTCCGGGGAGACCGGATACAGCGAATGTGGGGTCCGGGAGACCGGATATAGTGAATGCGGGGTCCGGGGAGACCGGATATAGTGAATGCGGGGTCCGGGAAGACCGAATATAGTGAATGCGTTGTCCGGGGAGACCAGATATAGTGAATGCAGGGTCCGGGGAGACCGGATATAGTGAATGCGGGGTCTGGGGAGACCGGATATGGTGAATGCGGGGTCCTGGAAGACCAGATATAGTGAATGCGGGGTCCGGGAGACCAGATATAGTGAATGCGGGGTCCGGGGTTTAGTAACCACAGTATAGTAGACTCTGGTGAGCTGCAATGAAGTTTTCCATTTCACCCATCTGTGTAGTTCTCTATTATGGAATTAGAGTTTACAAGTCACTTCATTCTTCCTCAGGAACCACTTGGATGAGTGAGATTTTGGATCTGATCTTTAATGGTGGAGACACACAGAAGACGGCCAGAGGTGCAATATATGATCGGGTGCCCTTCCTAGAGTACGCAGTGCCCGATATGGCCATAGGTAAGTCAGAACACATACATTTATATATATATATATATTTTTTTTTTTTTCGAACTAAGAGTACAACAAGCTTTGCAAAGGTCCAAGGATACAACTGAAAGCCAGGCGATACAGCAAAGCATGGCACATGATTGCATTTTATCCCACAATAGACACGTGTGGGTCCTGGAAATTCAGCCAAAATCTTCGTTTGTTGGATGTATTCGAATTTCCAAATGACAATAGTAACGAATTTAAACGAATTTGAAATACCAAAAGAAATTTAGTCCAAAATAATGAATTATTTACAGTGAAGGAAATGCGTATTTGCTCCCCGGCTGATTTTGAATGTTTCCCACTCACAAAGAAATGATCGGTCTACAAATCGAATGTTCGGTGTATTGTAACACCGAGAGACAGAATACAACAACAAATTCAGCAGAAATGCGTCTAACAAATGATGACTGATTTGCATGTTCATGAGGGAAAGAAGGATTTGATCCCCTATCATTCAGCAGGATTTCTGGCTACCAGGTGTCTTTCATACAGGTAACAAGCTGAGATTAGAGGCAGTCTCTTAAAGGGAGTGCTGCTAATCTCATTGTGTTACCTGTATTAAAGACACCTGTCCACAGGAGCAATCAAACCATCAGATTCCAAACTCTCCACCATGGCAAAGACCAAAGAGCTGTCCAAGGATGTCAGGGACAAGATTGTAGACCTACACAAGGCTGGACTGGGCTACCAAACTATGGCCAAGCAGCTTGGTGAGAAGGTGACAACAGTTGGTGCAATCATTCACAAATGGAAGAAACACAAAACAAGTGTCAGTCTCCCTAGGTCTGGTGCACCATGCAAGATCTCACCTCGTGGAGTGTCAATGATCATGAGAACAGTGAGGAATCATCCCAGAACTACACGTGAGGATCTTGTCAATGATCTCCAGGCAGCTGGGACCACAGTCACCAAGAAAACAATTGGTAACAGACTACGCCGACAAGGACTGAAATCCTGCAGTGCCCACAAGGTCCCTCTGCTCAAGAAAGCCCATGTCCAGGCCTGTCTGAAGTCTGCCACTGAACCTCTGAATGCAGAGGAGGACTGGTGGAAAGTGTCGTGGTCAGATGAGACCAAAATCGAACTCTTTGGCATCAACTCAACTCGCCGTGTTTGGAGGAGGAGGACTGCTGCATATGACTCCAAGAACACCATCCCAACTGTGAAACATGGTGGTGGAAACATTCTGCTTTGAGGGTGTTTTTTTTCTGCTAAGAGGACAGGACAACTGCACCGCATCAAAGGGACGATAGACGGGGCAATGTACCATCAAATCTTGGGTGAGAACTTGGGTGAGCAGCACAGTGGCTAAATGGTTAGCACTTCCGCCTGGCAGTGCTGGGGTCGTTGGTTCAAATCCCAACCACAGCACCACCTGCCTGGAGTTTGCATGTTCTCCCTGTGCCTGCATGGGTTTCCTCCAGGTACTCCGGCTTCCTCCCACACTCCAAAGACATGCTGGTAGGTGAATTGGCTCCTGTCTAGATTGCCTCCAGTATGTGTATGTAAGAATGTGAGTTAGGGACCTTAGATTGTACGCTCCTCGGGGGTGGGACTGATGTGAATGTACAATATATATGTAAATTGATGGCACTATATAAGTACCTGAAATAAATAAATATATTTGGATGGTGAATTGAAAACACCAAGAAACAGCAGATGTTTGAAAGGCGGGAAGTGGAGGGGAAGAGAAATGTCCATCAATGTGGAATTCTAAAGAAAAATTAACGTTTGGTTGCTTCTTCACCCTCAGGAACCGAAACCCTGAATTCAATGAAGACTCGGCGCGTTATCAAATCTCACCTACCTGTGAATCTTGTCCCACAGAGCTTCTGGGAGAAGAACTGCAAGGTGCGAGGATTGGGTGTCATCTACATTCTGTCCCAGAGATGGTCAAGCCATGTTTCTGGAGATCCTGGTCTATAAAACTTCAAACAGGCAAAAAAGGGGTTTCAAGTTCTTTCTTCACTCGAGACCTCTAGCCGGGATAAGAGGTGGAGTGCAGTTGGTGTCACTCGGCATGGGACAGGAGCCGGCACTACAGAGGAGGCCACTAGCCGGGATAAGAGGTGGAGTGCAGTTGGTGTCACTCGGTATGGACAGGAGCCGGCACTACAGAGGAGGCCACTATCCGGGATAAGAGGTGGAGTGCTGTTGGTGTCACTCGGCATGGGACAGGAGCCGGCACCACAGAGGAGGCATCAGCTTTTGCGGCTCTTGCTCCCTACTACAGATCCAACTTACCAAGTAGTCCCTCTGCTCTGCACTGCACTGCTTGATGCTCTGGGATGGCGGGTCAGCAAGTCCAGATTGTGAACTACCAGTCACTTGGCTGCGATCTACTGGTTGCTGACCCCTGGTCTCTAGCATCTTTAATAGGGATGCACCGAAATTTCGGTGTGGTCGAAACGTTTCAGACGAAAACACCCCTTTCGGCTGTCTGCCGATATGAAAAAAAAAAGCACCGATACAGGTACCGAAAAAAACCCCGCCCCCTCGCCACCAGCCGCCGCTCAGTAGTTCTCATGCTTACCTGAGAAACCATCGAACGATCCCGGTGCTGGGCATAGAGATGAGTAAAGGAAAGATGGCCTCTACTCATCTCTATACCCTTGGAGGACCGGAGCGATGTCACTTTCGGCCATTTTTTTTTTTTTTTTTTTTTTGATCCAATGTTTTACATTGCAGAGGAGAGCTGTGGGGGTCTTATTTTTTCAGCAGGAACATGGAGGAACACAGTATGTAATAGCAAGGGGTGGTGAGGGATCTATTGTTGCTGAAGGGGATCTATTTTTGCAGGGGGGGCTGTTGTTGCTGGGGAGGTCTAGTGTTGCCGGTGGGGGATCTATTGTTGCTGAGGGTTATCTTATGTTGTTGGGGGGGTCAATCATTGCTGGGAGGGATCTACTGTTGCTGGCTGATGAATGGTGTATTAATGCTGGCTGTTGGGAGTCTATTGCTGCTGGGATGGATCTGTTGTTGACGGAGAGTCCATTTTTCTGGGGGGTGGTCTCTTGTTGCTGGCTGCTGGGGGAGCTATTGTTTCTGGAGAGAATCTACATTGCCAGGGGGTGGGGGTCTATTGTTGCTGACTGCTGGGGATCTATTGTTTCTAAAGAGAATCTATATTGGCGGGGGAGGTCTATTGTTTCTACTATACAGTTGGAATATCCCACAGATTGCACAATCTGGTTTTATTTCTTTTCCTTCTCTGTGCAGGTGATCTATGTGGCACGCAATCCTAAAGACGTGTTGGTGTCATACTATCATTTCTATCAAATGGCCATTGTTCACCCGGATCCTGGGACATTCGAGGAATTTTTCCAAGGCTTTATGGAGGGGACAAGTATGTATGTTTTTATACCCATTGTTGTTGTATAAAAGGCCTTAAAATGGTGTTCATTGTTTGGTGGATTCTGGAGATTTAAAGTAGGACTAAAAGCAGAGGAGTAACTAAAACCTTCAGGACCCTGGTGCAAGAAACTATGTAGGCCCCCGGGGCCCTGCCCTCTGAGCCCAGGACCCTTCCATCCGAGACCAGTGACAGAACACCAGGGCCCAGTCCCAACTGCGACCTTTGCAACCCTGGTAGTGCCGACACATTGGTGTAAGTAGTTGGGGTTTTTTTTCTATTTTTTTTTAACATTTTATTTTTCTTTTTACAAATATATATTTAATATTTACATTTTGTTGCACTGGGGGCTTTGGTCAGATATCAGAGGTCTAAACAGACCCCCGGATGTTCCACCTTTTGAGAGGGCACAAGGGCCTGGGGGCCCTATCCAGCTTCTTTCTGCTGCCCCCTCTCCCACTCCCTCTGTGCTCTCTCTCTGTCCCCCTGTGCTTTCTCCCAGCATCTGTCTAGTCTCTTCAATCTCTTAAAGATCTGTTGGTGAGATCTCTGTGATGAGTTTTTATGCATCTTCACACCTGCTGTTCCCACCATCACCGTGCTTCATTCCCGGGTCTGTACACCCGCTGTGCCCATAATTTGAGGTTCCCACTATCCCTGTGCTGATGTTTTGGGTCTATACAGCTGATGCTCCCATTATGAAAGAATCCCACCATCCCTGCTCTGAGTTCCCGGGTCTGTACACCCGCTGTGCCCATTATGAGGGGTTCCCACTATTCCTGTGCTGAGTTCCTGGCTCTGTACACCCGCTGTGCCCATTATGAGGGGTTCCCACTATCCCTGCTCTGAGTTCCTGGGTCTGTACACCCGCTGTGCCCATTATGAAAGGGTTCCCACTATCCCTGTGCTGAGTTCCTGGCTCTGTACATCCGCTGTGCCCATTATGAGGGGTTCCCACTATCCCTGCTCTGAGTTCCCGGGTCTGTACACCCGCTGTGCCCATTATGAGGGGTTCCCACTATCCCTGCTCTGAGTTCTTGGGTCTGTACATCCGCTGTGCCCATTATGAGGGGTTCCCACTATCCCTGTGCTGAGTTCCTGGCTCTGTACATCCGCTGTACCCATTATGAGGGGTTCCCACTATCCGTGCTCTGAGTTCCCGGGTCTGTACACCTCCCACCATCCCTGTTTCTATTTATTTTTTTATTATGGAGAATCTAACAGAAAAGAAATACCTAAGTTGAGTGAGAACAGCGAAATCTTCCAAGTGGACAGAGCAGAGTCTGAAATTATGGCAGGAGTCAGGACGTTCTCGTTGTTGGAACACTGAAGATCCATAACACAGGAGGTGGCTAAGCTCACAAAGCCCTATTTATAACTACAAAAACACTTTTTGGGTGAGCTGGTCCTTTCATCTAAATTTTGGAAAGTGCTGTGTATTTTTAGACAGTACCCCTGCTTTGGATGAGAAGGATGAAGCTAGGAACCATCAGAAGACAACATAGTGGCCAACTGGTTAGCTCTCCAGCGTTGCATGGTAATCATTCCCACTGGGAACATTAGCTGAATGGAGATTGTATGTTCACCCCTGCAATGGTGTCTTTCTAATGGCATGCTGGTTGGACCAATAGTCCTGGTTAGTATCTCCTGCAATAAAGAAAAACATCCATTCCATTTTCTTGGCAAACATAGATTTCAAGTCCTTTCTTTCAGTACTTGACAATTTTTTATCAGCAGTACAGTGATTTCACTACAGGGGCGGACTAACCACTCGGGCACTGCCCGAGGGCCCAGGGTCTGTAGGGGGCCCCATGAGATGCCCTGGGTACCTTTCATAGGCCTTTTTGGGTGTGGTTTGAGTGTGGGCTAGGACACAGGGGCCCCATGATTCCCTATTGCCCGGGGGCCCCATGAGTTGTCAGTCCGCCCCTGTTTCACTGCAACACTTGGTTATCAAGCAGAGTAGCAAACATTTTTGTTGTCCTAGGTACCTATAGGTGCTAGTCAATAGAAAAGGGAGGATTGGGGCAGAATGCCACTTCTGTGAATGGTCCTGAACCTACTGGCCACCATCAGGGGGAACGAATAAATAGATTAGAAAAGCTTTCCCAATCTCTTTTGTGGTCCTAATACACCAGTGTCCTCTCTCTCTATCTCTCCACACCCCTAGCTTTCAATTAACTTCAAGCAACTAGTTTGGTCCTGAATAGTCAACTGGAAATTAGTCAATTAGATTTATTCTACAGTAATTGCATCAACATTTAACTTCCTCTAAACTTTGTTGAGTCCATGTGAAGAAATGGCATGAGAATCCAATTTTGGATATTGTCCTTCATGTCCATCTTCATGTCCCTAAAAACCTGTTCCTACCTCCATAATTTGCTCTTTGTTCTAACAATAATGTGTCCATATATCAATTCCTAAGGCAGAGAAGAAAAAGGAGAACGGCCTTCATAGAGGACCCTATTTTGTCCTTAATTTCTGACCTTCTATTGTCACTCGAAATATTTCAGAGTGAAGCACACATATTCAAATTTGTAAATCAAAATTGGGTCCCTTAACAAAGAAAAAAAAAAACCCAACATGTTTCACCAATTCAAGTGGCTTCATCAAGGATAACAATATGAATAAAACATGGCGCCCAACAAAAATAGTGAAGATGCACACCATGTTTAAACAACAAAGAAAAACAGAATTTCAATTAATTGGGGACACCTCAAATCTCAATTCCATAGGGGATATTAGAAGCAAGCATTAGGATTCATTATTCCTGTGTCCACATAAAACTGAAACCCAGGTTCTAGCCGTAAGCGATCTGAAATTGTCACCTTGTTTCTTGCAGTTGCCTTTGGGTCGTGGAGCCAGCATGTGAAGGGCTGGTGGAAGATCAGACAGCAGAGCAATGTTCTCTATATTTTCTATGAAGATATGCTGGAGGTGAGACCGTCTTCTAAACTGCTAACAGAGGATAGGTGAAATGGTTACTTTTCTTGATCCCTAAAGGGATGGGTACACTTTCATGTACCTCTCACCCAAAGGTCCCCTGGTGCCTCCAAGCAGCCCTGTGTATAACAGTCCTTACCTCCAATCAGCTGGTCCTTTGGTCTTGGTGCTATGGCTGGGGGTGTGCTGATTAGACCTGGCCACACCTGGTCCCACCCTCTGTTTTCTAGATTGACAGCACAGCCTCTGCTGCTGCAACTCTCCCAACGGAAGCTGCAGTGTCTGGGAGGGGGAGCGTGTGAGACACAAGTCAAGGAGAGGTAAAGGAAGTTTTTCATTTACTTTCTAGAGAATTGTGCATTACACAGTACCTGGATTTAGTACATGTTTAGACTGTCATACAGAAGCCTTTCATTGAACTCTAAAACAATCTTCATTGGAAGTTTAAGAAATGTATCTCCCTATTGTAAGACACTTTTCTTTTTACTGCCCCCCTGAAGATGAAGTCCCTGACCATCAAACAAGAGTGAACAGGACAAACATCATTTTTTCAAGCGTAGGCATGGTCCCCTAATGCATAATGGATCAGGCAGCTCAATAAATGTAGGATTAGTAACATTGGTTGAAAGGTTTAATATTGAAATCTGAAAACCTGAGAGGATACGGATTCTTTTTCTCACCCACCACTGATCCTTATGATGTGTGGTCACCTTCTTGGTCATGGTAGATTTCAGGTCTTCTAGTTCAGAGATGTACTTTATGAATGTATCTTTCCTTTCTGCTAAGACCAAGCTCATTATCTTCATCTCCTTCTATTTGGGTGAAGGATGCAAAGCGTGAGATCAAGAAGGTTCTGAAGTTTATTGAGGAAGACCTTCCCGAAGATGTTCTGGAGAAGATCTGCCAGCACACCACATTCAAGGCTATGAAGGAAAACAAAATGTCCAATTATTCTACTGTACCCTCATCAGTCATGGACCACAACATCTCCCCTTTTATGCGGAAAGGTAAAGACCCTCCATTCCACTCCATTCCAAATGATAAAATCCACAGATCTATACCTGCTAGTAGAAAGTCATTTTTGTTTTAAGAGTTTATAGGGAAGTTATTGTTTTAACAGGGGCGGACTGACTATTCGTGCACTCGGGCACTGCCTGAGGGCCCAGGGTCAGTAGGGGGCCCCATGAGATGCCCCTAGTACCTTTCATAGGCTTTTGTTTGGTGTGGGTGAGGACACAGGGGCCCCACGATCCCCTATTGCCTGGGGGCCCCATGAGTTGTCAGTCCGCCCTTGTTTTAATTTTTTTTTTTTTAGATAAATGTGCATTAAACCACCTTGATGAGTTTCAATATGTAGTATGCAACTGTGTACTTACATAGGCTTTTTTTCTCAGACAATAGGTTTAGGAACTCCCCCTTCTAAATCACTTGTTGTGTCCGCCCCCCTACTCACCTCTGAGCACAGAGCCTTGGTTCCATGCTCTACGCACCTCCCAGTACCTCCTCTTTTAAAGAATACAGAGCCAAGTATCATTGTGGTAATTTGTATGGAATTTGTTAATGATAACAAGAAAACCAGTAACATAGACCCCCCCCCCCCCATCAACGATGGCTTCTCCCAGCAGCAATAGATTTCCCCAGCAACAATGGACTCAACAAAATACCAGCCCTGCAATAACAGACCTCCCGGGAGCAAAAAAGAGGTCTCCCAGCAACAATAGATCCCTCCCTCAACAGTAGATCCATTCCAACAATAATTGACCCCCGAGAAACGTAGTTCCCCCCCCCCCCCCGCTGCAACAAAAGATTCCCCACCAGCAACAATAGACTTCCCAACAGCAAAAGACTGTCACACAAAAATAGATCCTGCAACAATAGGTCCCCCAGCGGCCAGCACCAATAGACCTTCCAGCACACCCCAGCACCCTTTGTCATTACATACATTCAGTGCTGGAACTGCATTCCCCCGCAGTCCCACTGAACAAAAACCTGCATGTGGTGCCATTATATCATCTTAAAGTAAAATTATTACAGGTTCGTGTGAGGTGACCTCAAAGTGGCCTACACTCTGGATGTCCTAGTCCAGTTACTTGAGTAAAAGTTCCTTGGTTACATCCACTCTCAGGGTTAGATCCTTGGCATGTAGTCAGTCAAACACCAAAAGGGTTAGTAGGTTTTGTAGATTTATTAATGAGCAAAAAGAACACAATAGCAGTACTTCTATGTACAGCAGCCCTGTGGTTTTACGCATGCAACAACTTCAGAAAGCTCTTGTACCACCCAATGCACCAAGGAAGAACAGAATACCCAAAGCCAAGGTTCTTGCATCTGCTTGGTTACTCCATCTGTAACTGCCGGTCAGCCAGGAGGTTCCTGTGCCTGCTGGTCTTTGGAGTTTTTGCTATTAAACATGTCCAGTAAAAACATTTAAAAAATCAAAATTTGGCAAAAATTTATTCTGCGATATGTCTTTGCTAAAAAAAAAATCCCAATACCTACAAATTAATTGGTCTACGTGAAAGTTATAGCGTTTACAAATGGCGGTATAGATACTGGGATTTTTTTTTTCTACTAGTAATGGCGGCGATCAGCGACTTTTAGCTGGACTGCGGCGGACATTCTGACACTGGGGGGAACTGACTTGGTATCACTGACATCCTCAGTGACACCAATAGAGTGATAAGTGCTAAAAAAAAAAAAAAAAAAAAAAAAAAGCATTGACACTGTGCTAATGGCACTGTGCAGGAAGGGGTTAATGTGAGGGGCGATCAAAGGGTTAACCGTGTGCTGGGAGTGTTTTACTAGGGGGGGTGTGTGCTTCACTGTAAGCACACTGATCAGGATGGCTGAACTGTGCAGTGTACTCGAGCTGACATGGAGGAAGATTGTTTGTAAACAAAACAGTCTTCCTCCCCATTGGAGATGCTCGGTAATCACCGGGTACCAGCGGGTAATTACCATCCGGGACCCGGTGATTGACAAGCGCGGCCGCGAATGGCGTCGTGGGTAGGGCACACGCGACTCGTATGCGCCCCCTACCCGGAAATGCAAAATCACATGTATATATACGTGATTCTGCGCACAGGTGCCGTCCTGTAGCAGTATACCTGCTATAGGGCGGTCCTTAAGCGGTTAAAGTAGAACTTTACTCTGTCAATCAACATGAACTATTTGTAATCCTTATGCTGCTAGCATTAGTAAATAGATAGGAAATTTTATCATATTTAATTTATTTGAAACATTTTTTACATTTCTTCACTTGGTTTCTGACCTAGGCAAATGATGTAATACATCCCAGGAGTCTTCATTGGCATTTTTTTTTTCCTTTAATCTGGAGGAGGGGCTTTCTGAGCTAGGCTCCTGCCTACATGTATGGGCTAAGAGCAGATGGATTCCAGGAGGTAAATTTTACATGCATGCCAGCATGGATAAGATGAACGAGCTGTCTTGATCAATAAGCTGTTTTAATGAGTGAGCTGTCCTAATGCATGAGCTGTCATCTTGGGTGCGGCCAGATGGTCCTTAATCAAGATGGCCACAGCTAGAAATGCTAAGGAGGTGTTTTCCAAAGCAATCTCTCAATAAAATAAAGCATGAAGATATGGATGGATGGATGGGGGAGCTTGCTCTGGATATTAAAAATGAATGAAATAGCGTTTTCAGTTTGTGGTGCTCAGATCTGGTGTAGTTCCACTTTAATGGATCAATCTCTGTGTTTCTCTGTCTCCAGGTATCTGCGGGGACTGGAAGAATCATCTCACAGTGGCTCAGAATGAAATCTTGGATGCATATTTGGAGCGGGAGATGTCTGACACGGATCTAACTTTCCGATATCAAGAATGATGATGCATTGGAAACAAATCTCCTAATTTCCTTAACCCTTTTATTGCTGGGCCATTTGGTGACTATGGTCATTGTGGTCAGAAGATCTGTACTGTTGTTCCTTAAAAAAACAATCCAGGTATAAAATGTTCTGGCACAGTCTAGCGGCTCAACTTATTCTGCTTATGTGTGTAGCACTAATTCCAGAGACAGTGAAAATGTCCTTGAGCTTGTTTTTTCTTTTAGTTTTATTAGGGGAATTGTACTTGGATAGGATAAGGGGTGCATGGGATGCCCAAGGAACTGTAAACTGCTGAAAACTTCCTAATAGCTATGTACAAGTCCATAGAAGGTTTTTCTCTTCTTGGAGAGCTCTCCAGCTTCTCCTGGTGTACCTCCCCAAACCCCACATAGTCCTCCTCTATTCAGCAATCTGAGGGCTTTCACTGGGCAAAAGGGATCCAGTATATGCTGCCTTAAAAGCACAGTCCAGCTGAGGGCTAGTCAGGTTCCCACCCAAATGCCCTCTCCCCTTCTCCAGTCCAAAGGGTGTAGAAGTACTCACGGTTCCTCTCCTGCAAGCTGTAGGTTGGCAGCTGCCTTCAGGCCTTCTGCTGGGCTGGCTCCTTCCACCACATGGGATCCTCTCTCAAGGGGCCAGTGAGGTGCAGCGTTCCTCCTGTCCAGATCCTACCTGGAGGTAGGCCCCTTCCCAACGGGGCCCCCTCCTAGGCTCGACACTCACCTTCTGCTCTCACATTTTCCATCTGAACTCTCTCCCTGCTGAGCAGGCTCAACCACACTTAAGGACTATCTTGACCCCATGCCAAGCCTCCTGCCTGGGGATCGGTCAAGATCCACTAAGTGTGCAGATCAGCCCCTCCTAACCCCCACCCACTGAAGAGACATCTAGAGACTTCTCCAAAGCTCTAGATCAGAGGGATGGGTCAGAGCCTCTCAGCCCTGACCCAAATTTTGACCTCTTCTAGCTATTTCCCAGGCTCCCACCCTGCCTTCTATCTAAAAAATAATCAAATTGGCTCCCCCTAGCTACCTAGGAGGTTGCTACAACTGCAAGGGGCTGAACGAAAAATAAAGCTACAGCTGGCCTCGCACCTGAATATACAATTTCCTCTAGCTTTACCTACAACTATGTAGTGTGAGGGTCTGCCTAATTAGATGTACATTAAATAGATGTAGCACTACCCCCTTAAGGGTTGCTGTTGAATTTAAGGGCCCCCCATAGTCCTGCACAGCCAATCAATTAGCATTTTCCACACAGTTTTCATCCACAGACAGAAATCAGGCCTTGAGCATTGGTTTTGTGGTTTCATCGAGGGGATTAAACTTGGATGGAGTAAAGGGTTGTATAGGATGCCCAAGGGAACCGATATCTGAAGACAAACTTCCTGAACTATTCACAGCCTCTTTGACAGTCTTTTTTGGAGTGCTAACCAGCAGCTCCAGTTGTACTACCCCAGACCCCAGATGAACTCCTCTTCACCCAGCAATCTGGAGACTTTCTTCCTGAGTAGGGGATCTGGCTCCTGTTCCTTTAGGTAAGGTGTACAGTCACTAGCAAAGGGCTAATCTGATTTCCCACCAGAGTGCTCCTTCCCCTGTCTGCCCAGGGGGTGCAGGTGTACTCACTCAGATCCTCTCCTGTACAGCTTGTGGGTTGGCTGCTGCTTCTAGCCTATCGGCTGGGCTGCTTCTTCCTAGCCATACAGGTGATCCTATCTTGGGGGACCAGTGAATCCTGAGGTTTCCTCCTTTCCTGCTCCAGGCTTGCAGGCAAGTCCCATCCTAGCAGGCCCCTTAGCAATTCTTCTTCCTCCAGCCTCATATTTTCCTGACTCACACTCCTCTCTCACCACCACTCTCTAACTCTTGCTACTGAGCAGACTCTAACACCTTTTAAGGGAGTCCAGCCCCTTGCCAAACCTCCTGTTGGGGATTGGCTGAGGTCCCTCTAAGGTGCAGCCGACGGCTCATCATATCCACCCACTTCCTCCAAGGCACTCCTCCGAAAGCCTTAGAGCAGGATGGAAATTCCAGAGGAGCTGGCCTGCAGAGACTCTCAGCCCCGACCCAAATTTGACCCCTCTGGCTATTGCACCTGAGCTGCTAACCAGCTCCTGTCTAACCATTAGGGATCTAGCTCCAGCTAGTGTAACTAGGAAGGTGCCACATAGATTATTTAGGTCACACAAGCTGTTAATGCATCTACAACAAATTGCAAAGAGGTAGTACAAATCCCATTTTAGCTCACGTGACCAGGTTTAGGCCGCCTTCACATTACATGTTGCATTACCACGCGCTGAAATGGAAATACACTATATTGCCAAAACTATTGGGACACCCCTCCAAATCATTGGATTCAGGTGTTCCAATCCCCTCCATGGCCACAGGTGTAAAAATTAGGAACCTAAGAATGCAGACTGCTTCTACAAACATTTTTGAAAGAATGGGTCGCTCTCAGGAGCTCAGTGACTCCAAGCGTGGTCAGAGTGGGGTCAGCGCATGCTGAAGCGCACAGTGCGCAGAAGTCGACAACTGTCTACAGAGTCAATAGCTAAAGACCTCCAAACTTGTTGTGGCCTTCAGATTAGCACAACAACAGTGCGTAAAGAGCTTCATGGAATGGGTTTCCATGTCTGAGCAGCTGCATCCAAGCCTTCCATCACCAAGTGCAATGCAAACGTTGGGTGCCGTGGTGTAAAGCACGCTGCCACTGGACTCTAGAGCAGTGGAGGCGTGCTCTCTGGAGTGACCAATCGTGCTTCTCTGTCTGGCAATCCGATGGACATGTCTGGGTTTGGCGGTTGCCAGGAGAACAGTACTTGCCTGACTGCATTGTGCCATGTGTAAAGTTTGGTGGATGGGGAATTATGGTGTGGGGTTGTTTTTCAGGGGTTAGGCTTGGCCCCCTAGTTCCAGTGAAGGGAACTCTTAAGGCGTCAGCATACATTTTGGACAACTTTGTGGGAAGAGTTTGGGGATGGCCCCTTCCTGTTCCAACATGACTGCCCACCAGTGCACAAAGCAAGGTCCATAAAGACATGGAGGAGCCAGTTTGGGGTGGAGGAACTTGACTGACCTGCACAAAGTCCTGACCTCAACCCCATAGAACACCTTTGGGATGAATTAGAGCGGAGACTACGAGCCAGGCCTCCTCCCCCGACATCAGTGCCTGACCTGACAAATGTGCTTCTGGAAGAATGGTCCAACCTTCCCATAGACATCCTCCTAAACCTTGTGGACGGCCTTCCCAGAAGAGGTGAAGCTGTTATGGCTGCAAAGGGCGGGGCCAACTCAATATTCAACCCTACGGACTAAGACTGGGGGGCATTAAAGTTCATGTGTGTGGAAAGGCAGGCCGACCAATACTTTTGGCAATAAAGTGTATGTGCCTACAATGATTTTTTTTTGCACAATAAAAGTTTTATTAGAAACCTAAAGCAACAAAGTACAACATGTTGGTCATGGAGTAAGAATGCAATACTCATGGTGCACAAGATATCATGGAGCGCACAGGCTGAAGATCACAATAAAAAAAAAAAAATATATGGTTATTAAGCCAAGTTTCATACAAAGATAATGTCATATTTCACAGCCAGAATATTTTATTTCAGGTACTTATATAGCGCAGTCAATTTATGCAGCACTTTACATACATATATTGTACATTCACATCAGTCCCTAACCCTCAAGGGGCGTACAATCTAAGGTCCCTAACTCACATTCATACATACACATACTAGGGACAATTTAGACAGGAGCCAATTAAGTTACCAGCATGTCTTTGGAGTGTGGGAGGAAACTGGAGTACCCGGAGGAAACCCACACAGAACATGCAAACTCCAGGCAGGTGGTGCCATGGTTGGGATTTGAACCAACAACCCTAGTACTGCCAGGTGGAAGTGCTAACCATTTAGCCACTGAATATATTATATATCCACCAAGCAAACAATTTCATCGTCTTTACGCATTCTTTATATATCAAAAGAAGCCAATGTAACAATCTAACTACATGGAAAATTCTGCTAGTCAATAATAATGAAGACATCTTAGCCCGAGATCCGATGAGGTATACTAAGGCTCTAGAGGAGGGAAAGACCTTCAGGGAAATAAATGTCTATTTCTCCATAGTAAAAACCTGGGGTGGCATAAATCGTCTGAAGAGACGCAAGAAGTAGAATGGAGACTATAGAGTGTAGATAGCTTTAGGATCAAAGATGAAAGATGAAGCTGGTCACCAAATGGGAACTTATATTGGGACTGAAGAAAAAATGAAGGTACTTTATGGCTGCCTAGGTCTCTTTTACCAATTCCAATGATTGATTTACCTTCATGGCCATTATGAACAGTGAACTTTGACATAGAGCCCAAGAAATACTAGTTGGACTGGAAGTGGAATTCTCTGGCCTTCTGGTAGTGTAATCTATGGATTGAGTGTCATGTTAAGTAACCCCGAGGGAACATGTGACAGGAATCCCTGTGGGGACATTGGCATGTCTCTTGAAAGGGTTCAATTGAGGTTAGAACTACCGTAGTTGTCAGAAATACCAGCTGATGACCTGAAAATAACCATAGACTTAGAATTTTACAGTGAAAGAAATGCGTATTTGATCCCCTGCTGATTTTGAATGTTCGCCCCTCACAAAGAAATGATCAGTCTAAAAATCGAATGTTCGGTGTAACACTGAGAGACAGAATACAACAACAAATTCAGCAGAAATGCGTCTAACAAATGATGACTGATTTGCATGTTCATGAGGGAAATAAGGATTTGATCCCCTTCACAAAACATGACTTAGTACTTGGTGGCAAATCCCTTGTTGGCAATCACAGAGGTCAGACTTTTCCTGGAGTTGGCCCCCAGGTTTGCACACATCTCAGGAGGGATTTTGGCCCACTCCTCTTGGCAGACCCTCTCCAAGTCATTAAGGTTTGGTGGCTGACGTTTGGCAACTCGAACTTTCAGCTCCCTCCACAGATTTTTAATCGGATTAAGGTCT